TTACTAAAGCATGAATGTGCAGCTATATTGACAAAGGGCAGAACTGTCTCAATTATGGATAGTATGCAGGAGTGTAGTGTGCGTGTGTGTGTGTGTGTGTGTGTGTGTGCGTGTGCGTGTGTGTGTGTGTGTGTGTGTGTGTGTGTGTGTGTGTGTGTGTGTGTGTGTGTGTGTGTGTGTGTGTGTGTGTGTGTGTGTGTGTGTGTGTGTGTGTGTGCGGGTGTGTGTGTGTGTGTGTGTGTGTGTGTAAGTAACTATTACGACGATAGGACACAACTATAGCCCATTTCCTAGGAAGATCATTTGAGAGGGTAGGGAAGTATATGGCTAGGAAACGGGGAGGTAACTAGGAGAACAATGGGAAGCCTGTCCTCCCACTGTCTATTGCTAGGAGGGCAATAGACAATCGACGCTTCACTAGTATAATAGGTTAATAGGATAGCTTTTCTTGTGTAGGTTGACCACTCTGAGCACCGACGTGGTGGGTGATTGGTTGATCGATCGGGTGAGGTAAGCTGGTATGTTAACCCAGGTAGGCTGACGGTTGTCGTTGCTGAGGTGACGGAGGGAAGTGAGGGAAGTGAGGGAGGGGGAGGTGGAGTCTCTTATCTTCACCCCTCCACCCTCTTCTCACACTTACCCCTCACCACCTCCCATCACCCCGTTCTTCATCTCCCCTCACCTCTCCCTCTCTCTCCCTTCACGTATCTCCTCATATTCTCTCTCTCTCCCTCCTCACCCCTGGTAATATGTTTATTGTTTGTGATGTGTGTCTATGTATGTATTCACACGATGTACTGAACGGGGTGAGAATAGATGGAGCTACCTCATCCCTTTGTGTGTATTTTACCTCAATAAATTTATTTCAATTTCCTCACCCCTCTCCTCACATTCTCTCTCCTCCCTCACCTCTCTCCTCACATTCTCTCCCCTCAGCACCTACCATCGTCGTCTACCGGGTCCGACTGCCATCATTATTATTCATTTATGTGATACTTGACAATGGAATGTGATATTGTATGCCAAATTTAACTACTGTATTTAATTTTTTTTTGCTTGTTGTATTTTTTTTCTGTGATTCATGATGCAGATGTAGGAGCTGTTGTATATTAATGAACGCCAAAGCTAACCAAATGAGCTAGTTTGTTTGTCCGGCTTCTCTTCCAAGTTTATTTTTTACAGGGGATTGTTTGGACTGTGTAATTATTCCACATTTCTACAAAATACTTGAGCGTGCAGTGGAGGGAAAAATAACAGTGTAAGCTGCATCATAGGTGCTGTAAATAAAAGCTTTTATTAAGCCCCCCAAAAGGCATTGTGTTTTCAGCCCTAGACACGAGATGCGTCTGATTTGAAGGGCGTGTTGAGACGATACGATGAATGAGTCTGATGAACGTGGCGATGAATGAGCGTGATGAACGTGGCGATGAATGAGCGTGATGAACGTGGCGATGAATGAGCGTGATGAACGATGAATGAGCCTGATGAACGTGGCGATGAATGAGCCTGAATGATGAATGAGCCTGATGAACGTGGCGATGAATGAGCCTGATGAACGTGGCGATGAATGAGCGTGATGAACGTGGCGATGAATGAGCCTGATGAACGTGGCGATGAATGAGCCTGATGAACGTGGCGATGAATGAGCCTGATGAACGTGGCGATGAATGAGCCTGATGAACGTGGCGATGAATGCGATGAATGAGCGTGATGAACGTGGCTGATGAACGTGAGCGTGATGAACGTGGCGACGAATGAGCCTGATGAACGTGGCGATGAGCCTGATGAACGTGGCGATGAATGAGCCTGATGAACGTGGCGATGAATGAGCCTGATGAACGTGGCGATGAATGAGCCTGATGAACGTGGCGATTAATGAGCCTGATGAACGTGGCGATGAACGTAATGATGATGGTGGTGATGATTTCTCACAAGGAAGTGGAGATTGAGGAGTACATCTGAGGTGCCTATGGGTCCGGAGGGGGTGGGGAGGGGACACTGGGAATGAGTATACCGGAGTTTACCTCTGTTGGTGCTCTAGTGGGCTCTGTGCTGGTACTGTACAAGTGAGTTTTATTGCTATGGTTGATTGTCGAAGGTAATGTTGACTGCAAATGTGTGTTAAACAAGGCGGTGTTCATTACACCCTGTGTCTTAAACTAGGTGATCATTACACCCTGTGCATGACCAACCAACCTGTTGGGGGTTGCACAGGTTGCAGCCGCTGACGTGCACTCACCTGGGATGTGAACTCCAGGGAGCTCTGCTGCCAGCCTCAGACTGTGGTAAGTCAACCTAAGTCATCCACCATGCAAAAACATTTCATCTCTCCATTTTATATATATATGTGTATACACGCGCGCGGCCGCAACATGGAGCCCGTACCTTGTCAAGCACATGACGAATATGGACAAAATTCAGAGGTATGCCACTTTGCTGGTCCCAGAACTGAGAGGCATGAGTTACGAGGAAAGGTTGAGTAAACTGCAACTCACGTCGCTGGAAGACACAAGAGTTCGGAGAGACATGATCACCACATACAAAATTCTCAAGGGGATTGGCAGGGTAGACAAGGATGGACTATTTAACACGGGTGGTACATGCACAAGGGGACACAGGTGGAAACTAAGTACCTAAATGAGCCACAGAGATATTAGAAAGAACTTTTTAGTGTCAGAGTAGTTAGTAAATGGAATGCATTAGGAAGTGATGTGGTGGAGGCTGACTCCATACAGTTTCAAATGTAGATATGATAGACCTCGAGAAACTCGGGAATCTGTACACCAGTAGTTTGACTGTTGAGAAGCGGGACCAAAGAGCCAAGGCTCAACCCCGCAAGCACAACTAGGTGAGTACACATCTCGCCTAGACTCCTTCCCAGCATGGAGTCCATATCTAGTCAAGCATAAGACTAAACTGGAAAAGGTTCAAAGGTTTGCCACCTGACTAGTACCCGGGCTGAGAAGTATGAGCTACGAGGAAAGGCTACGGGAATTAAACCTCACGTCGCTGGAAGACAGAAGAGTAGGGAGGGACATGATCACCATGACACGTACAAGATTCTCAGAGGAATTGACAGGGTAGATAAAGACAGGCTATTTTACACAAGGGGCACACGCACTAGGGGACACAGGTAGAAATTGAGTACCCAAATGAGCCACAGAGATGTTAGAAAGATTTTTTTTAGTGTCAGTGGTTGACAAATGGAATGCATTAGGAAGTGATGTGGTGGAGACTGACTCCATACACAGTTTAAAGTGTAGATATGATGGAGCCCAATAGGCTCAGGAACCTGTACACCAGTTGATTGATAGTTGAGAGGCGGGCCGAAAGAGCAACCCCCGCAAGCACAAGTAGGTGAATATGTAGCCTTGCATCACCCGCACAACTCCAGACATTCACCACCAGCGATCTTTGAAAAACACATTGTTTCAGATTTAAGCCGAGCATTTGGGAAATGGGTGTCTGTAGTTATTCCCCATAACATGCCTTCCCGAGGGGTCCCAGGAACGCGCATCTCCGCTCCTCCTGACGCTGTGGGGTCATCACAACAAAGGAGCCAACTTCGTCGTGGTCTTCTGCTGGAGATCAGGACCTGGGAATGCCAATATATCTATTTAAATAACAGTAATTTGCTTTGTGAACTAAGGTTAAGGGGAAGGAGAGGGAGGGGCGGAGGACCAAGAGGTTTAGGGCGTGGAAGAGTAAGGATGGGGAATGGAAGAGAATAGGGTAGAAGGGTTGGGAGAGGAGAGGAGAGGGATAAAAAGGATTGATAGGGAGAAAGAAGACGATAGAGAACAGAGCGAAGAGAGTATTATGTAGGATTTAAAAAGAGTTTGGTCTTGTTGATACTGTATCAACAATCAATCTGGTTGTGGTGGATATGTGGGCCTGAGGGCCGCTCCAAACAACAGCCTGTTGGACCAAGCTCCCCATCCAGGTACAATGGTATAAGGAGTAGACTGGAGGAGAGTGTGTACAGGATTTATAATGCAAGAGAAGGAGGAAAATAGAACAGTTGAGTTTTTCGCAGAGGGCAGAAAAGGTCTGCCTTTTCGAAAGTCTCTCGAAAGCAAGATCCGTCCAAGAATTTCTTTGGGACAGACTGGACAGGAGGGGAATCTTTGATGGACGCTGGGGGCAGCTTAAAACACTAATATAAACAGTGTAGAAGCAGCAGCAGCAGGTAGAGTAACAGGAGAGCAGCAGCAGCAGCAGCAGCAGCAGTAGTTTAGAAGCAGCTGTGTAGCAGGTTGAGGTGCGCGAGTCACCACCACTTCAGGCACCAGCGCGCATTCACAATTCAGCCTCTTAATTATGGCAATAAGTGCGGGTTATAAAACAAAAATGGCGCATCTTGTTGACATTAACTCGCACTTCCTCTGGACGTGGCTGCTTCCCTTATCAATGATGTGTTTTTGTCTGCTCGCTTTTTTTGTTTTTGTGGGTGGAGGAATTATGAGGCGCTGTTCAGATGGTTTTATGAGTAAGGGTTTTGAGTTTTTAGATGCGGTAGTTTAGAGGGTTAATGTGTGGGAGGAGGAGGGGGTGGGTGGCTGGGGGCTGATCCCGCTCCTCCTACAGTTTTACTTACAGCTTTATAGTTTCCAGCGTGGAAGCGCGCGGTCTTCTAAGGTTTATATTGAGCTATCTTCTGTGTAACTTAGTCTTTGATCTCGGGGTTTAATAACTTGAAAGGCTCTAAACTACGCCTTACACGAGTATACACAGTCAGCTGGGCGGCCTGACCTCAGCGCCTGGGTCTTATCCTCAGCAAGTCTTAGAATTCAAAGAAACGCGCCCGACCTGAGGGATCAGAAGTTCATAATACCCCATTCACTGCGCGGGCAAGATCGTGTTTGTGATATTATGTAATACGCGGATGCCCTCTGCTCACAGTCTCTGGCGGCCCCGTCCCTAGCTGGCGGGCCCCGTCCCTAGCTGGCGGGCCCCGTCCCTAGCTGGCGGGCCCCGTCCCTAGCTGGCGGGCCCCGTCCCTAGCTGGCGGGCCCCGTCCCTAGCTGGCGGGCCCCGTCCCTAGCTGGCGGGCCCCGTCCCTCGCTGGCGGGCCCCGTCCCTCGCTGGCGGGCCCCGTCCCTCGCTGGCGGGCCCCGTCCCTCGCTGGCGGGCCCCGTCCCTCGCTGGCGGGCCCCGTCCCTCGCTGGCGGGCCCCGTCCCTCGCTGGCGGGCCCCGTCCCTCGCTGGCGGGCCCCGTCCCTCGCTGGCGGGCCCCGTCCCTCGCTGGCGGGCCCCGTCCCTCGCTGGCGGGCCCCGTCCCTCGCTGGCGGGCCCCGTCCCTCGCTGGCGGGCCCCGTCCCTCGCTGGCGGGCCCCGTCCCTCGCTGCGCGCCCCGTCCCTCGTGGCGGGCCCCGTCGCTGGCGGGCCCCGTCCCTCGCTGGCGGGCCCCGTCCCTCGTGGCGGGCCCCGTCCCTCGCTGGCGGGCCCCGTCCCTCGCTGGCGGGCCCCGTCCCTCGCTGGCGGGCCCCGTCCCTCGCTGGCGGGCCCCGTCCCTCGCTGGCGGGCCCCGTCCCTCGCTGGCGGCCCCGTCCCTCGCTGGCGGCCCCGTCCCTCGCTGCCGGCTCCGTCCATCGCTTCCCCTGTCCTTCGCTGGTAGTCCTTTTCTTCTGATCCCGTCTCATACTAGAGCCGTGGCCCCGTCCCTTGCCGTGGCCCCGTCCCTTGATACCCTGCTGCATGGCTCGCCACAGTGCAACCTGACCCGGGCCGTGTTAGCGTGGTGGGCAGCGCATCAACGCTATAAACGGCGACGAGACCTCCAGATATTAGGTCTTCGGCTCTGGTTATGAAATGTTACCATGTAAATCGTTTTCGAATTAAGACATTATTGTAAGTGGGAGCAATTTGATATTTACCTTGAAGAGAAACCGAATGATTCCTTTTGATGGCGAAATTTATGTTTCTATCCCGGTTCTTTATGGGAATAATGAAGACTGCTATTGCCTTTCAGGAGAAATTCTCTCCAATTGCATGCATTTTCTGTAGACCGACTTGCTTGATCGTCTAAATTGCATAATCGTAGTTGATTATATGAATAGCCATATGGAGCCTCTCTGCAGGTGTAGGTGTTGTGGGGCCACGGGGATGTAGACCCTGCATCCCCGCATCACAGAGGTCAGATTTCCGGGGCATTGGAGGAGATGTGCTGTTTTGAGCTTTTCTATGACTTGAGAATGTACTTAACTGGAAGTATTCAAGTGTGGCCAGACCGTATTGCTTCCATTTATGGCAGCTCTTGCCTCTTTTTTCCCGGTTGGTGCGGTCGACGCCAGCTTGGGCGGTGATTCATCAGCTGAGGGGTATTCTTCACCCCGTCCCACCACATGGGGGGGGGGGGGAGATTATACTAGCCTACTGGCAATAAATTATATTCGTAAGTTCATATAGTTTTCCAACATATATTAAGGGTTTATAACTGTCAGAGAAGACCAGATGTAATCTAAGACAGAGGACTCCGCAGACAGAGGACCCGTCCGGACGCTTCCTTCTCTTGCCTAACAATCGAACATCAACATAGCGTCCCATTGTGGCTCTCTTCAGGGCCCCGGCAGTACGTTAATTTATAAGGTGTAGTTTAGCATTAGCTCAAGTGGGCAGTGAGGCGAGGACAGAGCGGGGGCACTATGGTTCACGTTCTTAGATGCTCACCCCACTTGAGAGGCCAGGCCCACTTGAAGCTTGATCGCGGGCATAAGTGCTAAGTGGTATTACACCTCTTTTTAGATGCGCTCACATCAGCTGAGACAAGCCGAGTAGATGCAGCCTTGGAGGGGAGAAGGGCGCTGCCTGGGATCTGATTAAGAAAGAATGAATTCCTAATTGTTGTAGTTGTTTTTGTTTATATATTTGGTTCGTTTAATAAGCACGACGACCGGGCCGGGGGGACGCTAAGCCCCGGAAGCACCTCAAGGTAGCACCCCGTATTTATCCTGTGAGTGGTAGTGAACCCCAGTACCCATCTTGTGTGTAGCAGAAGACCAACCCCATCTCCCCCCTCCCACTGCCTGGGGGAGGGGGGGCCTGATAGCTGAGTGGACAGCCCTCTGGTCTCGTAATCCTGGGGTCCGGGGTTCGATTCCCTGTGATGGCAGAAACAAAATGGGCAGTTTTTTTCACCCTGATGTCCCTGTTACCTAGCAGTAAATAGGTACCTGGGAGTTAGACAGCTGTTACGGGCTATTTCTGTGTGTGTGTGTGTGTGTGTAAAAAAAGTTAGTAGTTAGTAACAGTTGATTAATTGACAGTTGAGAGGCGGGCCGAAAGAGCAAAGCTCAACCCCCGCAAACACAACTAGGTGAATACAGCCACCCTTCTCTCATCTCCCCCTCCCACACCCGCCCTCTACACTTCTCCCCCACACCCCCTCCACCTCTCCCCCACACCCCTCTCCCCCACACCCCCTCCACAGTTACACTCCTCCACTTTTTAATAAAATCACGTTAAGGTGTTTGTGCAGCTGTACCCGGGCTTTACCTTCGTGATATTCCGCTCAGTGAACGCTTTATTAGTGCTCACCATAAACACGCTGGATGTGGACCCGGCCACTTGAGACATTCTCTCTCCGTGCACCAGAAACATCTTGGTGTACAGGCGTTCACAAATATAAGTAGAAGAGTTGGGATTGGATTCCATAAGCAATACAGGCGCCGGAGGGCTTCCAGAAAGGGATTCGACCCCCCTCCCCGCGCCCCCCCCCCCCTCCCGTTACTAACCATTTACTTTACCGAGGGGAGAATGCGCTAGCACGGCCTTTAGGAGGTATATTAAATGATATTTCGCGGCCCGGCTTGAAAATTTCACAGGTATATGGTATGCAGTGTTCCCACGTTGGACTGTAAGCATCTAGCGGTATTTTTTGGTGGGTATGGACTGCTAAGGGAAGGGGGGGGGAGGGGGGAGGGGCTGGGCATTATTGACATTCATATTCTAGTAGCGCAGAAGAACATTACCGTAGGGGGGAGCAATATTACCGTAGGGGGAGCAATATTACCGTAGGGAGGTGGGGGGAGGGGTGAGAATATTACCACTGCCTCAAGCCTCCCCGCTCCCGCCATCCTCCAAATGACCCGCTAGGCATGATTGTCAGTGTAATAAATTACGTAAATGTTTTATAAATTGTTGGTCGTTATTGTTGCATTTTCTTTGTGCAATCGATTAAGAAAAGTTTTTTTTGTGTGTGATTAGTTGTGGATTATTATATCATATTGCAATTTTATCAATAGCACCTTTATCAATTTTATCATATTTATCAATTTTATGCACCAGGTGTGCGATTTTATCAATAGGATTTGGTATGCGCTTTTGGGCAGGCGTTGGGAGCTGGGGGTCCCGGACTGTCTGTGGTGGTCGTATGGTCCCGGAGGAATTGTATAGGAAGAGTGAATGACACAACTAATTGTGAAAGGAGGGTTATTACAACAAACAATATACTAGCAACATTACCTCCACCACTACCATCAGTATTGTCAGCTTCACACACACACACACACACACACACACACACACACACACACACACACACACACACACACACACACACACACACACACACACACACACACACACACCACCCTCCCAACCCCCCACCCCCCCCCACCCACCATCCCCCCCCCCCCCATCACCCCCTACACACACTCAACCCACCCACCCCCATCTCAACTTTCCAAAAATATTTAATATTAAGAAAAAACGACAAGTAATTATTAAGGTTGGATGACAATTTAAGCAACGTCAGAAACTTCTTCCAGACAGACCAATCCGTTCTTAGACTGCTGGCAATTTGAAAATAGTGAGACTATAACTCCGTTTCTATTAATTGTACAGGAAGAGCTAGAATGTCTTATCGTGTCGTGTGTGAATGTTGATGGACTTGGGTAGCAAGAGAGGCGAGGACTCTGGTGTGGGCAACGAGGGTGCTAGAGAGTTAGGGTCCCATCACCTGATCAGAATTACATTTCACCTTTGTGAATGTACATTAATGACACTATGTTAAAGACACATCTAACACTTTATGTAGGGCATACGTAAATCTGTGTATCTATGTATTTACGTATGTAGGTTAGCTTAGCATTTTAAAAGCACCGAATCACCTTCTGTGGTTGAGTGTTCAATAAACCCTTGAACTATATGTTTAACACTTCTCTAACCCTGTCCATGGAGGACAGAAGAAAATGTATATATGCTGGTTAGCATTGTAAATGTGTGGCCACGTCTGTGGTAGAAAAATAATAAAAAAAAAGAAAAAAAAAAAAAAAAAAACGCTCGAGTGGAGCTTGAAGTTTAGGTCAGTTCAGGAGGGTTTGACTATGTCCAGATGGCAGTATATGCTGTGAGACAGTGCCGTTTTCTATCGGATTACAAGGGGGAACTGAAGGTGTGTGTGGGGGGGGGGGGGCGATTGTTTTAGGTGTGTTAGTCATGAGACGAGAGAGTGGGAGAGAAGGGAGGATGGTGAGAATTCCTTCATAAAATGGGGAAACCTTGTTCGAAGATGGGTAATCCTATGTAGGTGGAGCTGGATAACTTCAAATTCATTTAAACAATCACCGTAGACCATTATTTGTAAGACATAAGTCATCATCCTATTCGGAGCTAAATATATAAGGCAGGTCTTTCCTGAACGTGGTGGGGCGAGCCAGTCAGGGAGGCTTCAGGGAACTCACTTCCCCCACAGTTTGTGTTCGTGGGTGTTCAGCTTGCGCTCGTTCAATTACTCTCTTGACTCGGTGAGAGCATTCCAGTATGCCTCGTGAAGTAGAACAACGCTCCCTTATTTTTTTGTCATGCTGAGTAATTCAGTGATACAGAATTCCAATTCCTCCTAAGTGAACGCCAGCATTTTCCGTGCGCTTAGAGCGCGTACAGGTAATTGTGATGCTGATGACTGTGTCTTGGAGATGGATCCGGTTTGTTGTGTGTGTGGGGGGGGGGGTTGCATGTGGGGTAAGATGTTATTAATAACAGCTGGTTAAAGTTAAATGTAGGTTGTTATAAATAAGTAGTGAAAGTTATTGGTGGTAACTAAGTCATCGAAGGCTCATTTTATTATAGAGTAATTGATAGCTGATTAAGGTCACATGAGGCTAAAGTTGATAGAAGCTTCTGACTAATATTATGAATAGTACGCAAAGAAATTTCGAGAGAAGGGTACGAGCAAGTACAGTATATTATACGAGCAACCGTAGTTGTAGTACGACGCGTAGTTGTGGAACGGTACGAGCAAGTAATTTGGAACGGACGAGAAGGGTACGAGAGCAAGTACGAGCAACAGTACCCGTAGTTGTGGAACGGTACGAGCAAGTACCGTAGTTGTGGAACGGTACGAGCAAGTACCGTAGTTGTGGAACGGTACGAGCAAGTACCGTAGTTGTGGAACGGTACGAGCAAGTGCCGTAGTTGTGGAACGGTACGAGCAAGTACCGTAGTTGTGGAACGGTACGAGCAAGTACCGTAGTTGTGGAACGGTACGAGCAAGTACCGTAGTTGTGGAACGGTACGGTACGCGTCCCTTCACTGAGGGCGGGGGGGGGGGGTTTAGGGGTACGGGTTCGATGCCATTTTATGGCCTTAATATTTTCTAATTGTGAATTATTTGAAATCTTGTGACTTGAAAAGAGTTTTGCAATTCATAATTTGTTATAAATTATTTTATTTTCAATAATTATTGCCAGCGTAAATT